AGGAAGGCGGAGGAGCTGGTGAAGAAGGCGATGAAGGGAAACGATGCTTCTCATGACGCCTCGCATGTGTGGAGGGTCCGAGAACTTGCTCTCTCCATTGCTCGCGAGGAAGGTCTCTCTTCAAACTCAGAATCCATGGAAATTGTGAGTTAAAAAAAAAACCCTAAGTCCTTCCCCAAAACCCCAATTTTTTCTGCTGTTCTTCGATATCTAGAGAATTTGAGATGTTTCTTATGAGTTTTTCATTTTTTTTGTTTTTCTTTGGGTGAAATATTTTCTGTTGATCTTTACAGGTGGAGCTTGCAGCTCTTCTTCATGATATAGGTACTTCTTTGGAGCTATTTGTTTTACTTTAAGTCATGTGTTTATAGTTCCCATATTAATCATAGTTTGTGTATCTCTCTCTCTCTTGTCAGGTGATTACAAGTACATAAGGTTTGTGTATCCAACTTTTCGTTTTAACCGCTTTATTAGACTAACTAACATCCAATCAACAATTCTTGATTATACTTCCATGGGGAAAAAGAAGTGTTCACTTTGCTCCTGAAACTCTCTAAGTTCCCTGCCTTTAACTGTGTGTTTGAGCTAAGCTTAATGAATAAATACACTTGGAAGTGTTTCTAGGGTCTACTCGTAATTACTAATTAGGGAACCCAGGGATAAAATTCCATCTGTTTGCAAATGCTATGTCGGATGCAGGATGCCATTAGATGAGGCTTGTGAGAAACTATTTGCCGTGTTTGCTCAACTTAGGATTGGTTAGTCTCTACTAAGTGGAACTTGGTGTGGATATAACCAAATTTAAAAAACCTTCTGAACTTCGAACGATGAAGTCTGGTTTTCTGCCCCCTGACATGTTTCTTGATGGCAAAAAAAAAATATTATGACCGGAATTCAGAGACCCTTCAGAAGCAAGACTTGTTGAGAATTTCCTGGATGAGGAAGGTATAGAAGAGACCAAGAAGATGAAGATACTAGCTATCATCAATGGAATGGGTTAGTTTCCAGCTCTCACTTTTACTCAGCATATCCAATGTACTTACCTGTGTGAGTTTTCACTATAGTTAAGTAAGGGCTGGTTAAAAGAGTTCTGTTGTATCTAAATTTATAAACAGAACAAGTTTATGTTTTCCAGGTTTCAAAGACGAATTAGCAGGGCTAGAACTCTGCGAATCTATTCCAGAGTTTGGAGTAGTTCAAGATGCCGATCGCCTTGATGCAATTGGCGCCATAGGTAAGAATGCTTCTCGACAGGCTAAGAGCTTTTAAAATGTCATTGCCAAAATATCTGCTCTTCATGTCATCTGGAAATTCTGTCTATGTTAGCCATTTTTCATCTTAGTTGTTGTTAATCTCTTTCGGTATTAGGAATTGCTCGTTGCTTTACATTTGGTGGAAGCAGGAACAGAGTGCTTCATGATCCTGAGATCAAGCCTCGGAAAGAGTTAACCAAAGAGCAGTACATTAAGAAAGAGGAGCAAACAACTATTAATCACTTTCATGAGAAACTCCTCAAGCTGAAGAAGCTGATGAAAACTGAGGTAAGTTTTACCGGAAAACAATTCTATACAACATAAAAATTTGTTTCGATATGTGATTTGAATGTGGGACTGAAAAAAATATCAGGCGGGTAAGAGGAGGGCAGAGAAAAGGCACAAGTTCATGGAAGAGTTTCTTAAGGAGTTCTATGAAGAGTGGGATGGTAGAGCTTGAAAAGCAAATGAAATGATGCATGAAGCAAAGTTGTTCAACCAGTTACTTAACCGGACCTAAACCAAACCGACCAATATGTGGTTTAGGTTTATAACAACTTTATATATATAAGTATGTTATACGGTATACCTCGTGATAAATTTACATTTAATAAAGTTAAAATTGCTTTGTTTTCTCTTTTAAGTTTAGTAAATTACAACTTTGCTGATTATTTGGTTTTTTCTTTTGTCAGTGGTAATGATTGTGTAAGGAATCAAGGGTTTACACGATAGCGCCGGTCTTTCTTTTTAAAGCCAAAGTCGGTCTTTTAAAACGTCAGTAGTTTTAATATATGTTTCATTTTCGTTTTTAAGTCTTCGCTGAATTTTGTTAGTGAGAAAACCATTTAAGATGATTTTTTTTTTGACAGAACATGATTTGATGAAGAAGATGTTTCTAGATGTTTGAGTGGATTAAGTCATTGCGAAGATTAAGACATTACATGGGTTGAATTTGTATATTTTATACTAAAGTGACGTAATTGTTACATTTTGAGACAAAAAAATAAGTTTGTAAATTTAGAATTTGTAAACGGAAACTTCATAACAATAACATTTGGAAGTATTATGTACTAGTATTGGTCGGGTGATCTTATCCATATTGGCCATTATGATTTTACTAATTTTACCAAAAAAACAAGAGAGGAAAAGAGTTTACCATATTGACTCTCTTTATAAAGAGATGGTAAAATTATTTGAATTTACCATAATAACTTATCCATATTTTTTGATTTTATTTGTACGAAATTTTTTTTTTAAAATGTGGTGGTCTAGTGATAACACAAGGGAGTTGGTTCAAACTCCTTTTGGTACAGAGGGTTACTTTTTAAATCGAAATATCCAAAGATTGCCTCCGAGTACCGAGAAGATTACAAGCCAAAACTTCGGAACTCCTACGGTTTATTAAAAAAAAAAAATTAGGGTAGTTTAAAAAAAAGTTTTAGGGTTATACTTTTGAGAAAAATATGATAAAGTATACACTTCTTCGCATTATTCAAAAATTATTTATCGAAGTTAATTCATGTTTACACATTATTGTGCATAAATATCAATAAAATTACTCTTTAAAATAACATAATTATTTTTATTACAAATTATTAAATATGTAACGATATGTTTAATTTTTTTATTTAATTACATTCATCTCAAAAGTTTTTAGAAAATTCAAATAATGAACCATTCAACCACATCCCATTCGAATTGGCTTTTATCTACAAGTTTCCCTATGTTTGTATATACTTCTTCAAAACCAGTCGTCAACAAAAAATATTTGGAAAGAGTTTTTTACTTCTACACAAGGAAATTGATGAAAAATTCTTTACAACTAGAATTTAAAAATTAATTATTTAAGCATCGAATGAATTATTCAGATTTAGCTAAGTTGTGTTTGTTTTGTAGTATTAAAAAAAGACTTATCGCGTATAGACTAAAAACTATCGTTATAGTTTATACATAACGTTAACACATGTCCATCATTAGAGGACTAACCATCGAACGGGTCGGCCATTGCGCGTTCAATTTGTGTTTGAATAGAAAATTATAATTAATCAAATTATCAAATCGTTTTTAATATGCACTTCAACTCTTTATATGTAACTAAAAATGTAACTAACTCGGCAGCTCCCGTGATATTCAAGTTATGGTGGGTGTTATGATAATCAGAAATTCGATCGTTTATAGTTAAATTCAACAAATTTTAGTCAAAACAAAATACTCTACAATTCGTTACAAATTATATAAAATTTCTATTAAAAACAATCAAATAAATTCCACAATATATAAATTTATTTCTATTCCACAAAATAAATTCCAAATTTCTATTAAAATAAATAAATTAAATTCCAAAAAAAATTCCATAATATCTAATTATCAAGTTATTTACATATCCATAATCTACATAACAATTTAAAAAATATATGCGGAAAACAGGTTTTTTTTTAATAATCTATATATTCATCACGGCCAATTAAAATATTTTTCTCTAAAATTTGCTCTATATTATTCTTTTGGTGTCTTTTTTTTTTCTTCTATTTCCCCATTTTAACATTTCTTCTTTTAGAAGTTTTAGAGCGATAAGTGAAAGATGTGCAGTTAAAAATGTCCATGCGGTTTGATATAGTAAATTTGATTTACTGAAACTTAACAATCTATATATTTAGGTATAACCGTATTAATTATGAGCATGATTACTCTATTCATTTTAGAATTAGTCGAATTTTAATCGCAAGCTGGACCAAATTAAACAATATGTATGTATGTATTTTAGCAAAAAAATTAAACAATATGTAGCTCTTTTTTTTTCAAAACCAAAAAAAAAATATATATGTAGCTCGTAGGAAAAAATCATCATCGTGAATTATATTTTAGCCAATCATTATGTGGACCCAATCCCGCTCCATGTGTTTTGCGTGCGACTCTACGACATCATCCCATGGTTAAAAAAAAAAAAAAAGGGCAGGGGTAAACTTATTGAGATCTATAATTGTACTATCTATACGACAAAAATACAATTTTAATTTTTTTTTTTAATAACTTTAGAAATTCGATCTTTTAGTACATAATTTTTTTTTGTTTGTGTAATTGCGTTTAATCGTAAACCACTTATTATTCCATATAGAATTGAATTTTTAACATCAAGTATTATTTCTCATGAACCACTAAACCCACTATTTACTTGATTGGTTAAAATATAATTTTATTGTGATCTTATCATTTGTTTAAAGAAGAAGAAAACATTCTCAAACGGACCAGAAAAGAGAAGTTAAAGAAAGGATATTGCCTTTCTAGTAGATATAAAAATATTTGACAAAAAAAAAGGTGAAAAGTAAAACTTTTAAATTCTAAATACAATTCGATGTAGTATGTATATAATCACTCAAATAAGAAAAAAAAGTAAGACCTTTTAGAGCATCCCAATTGAAGGCTTTTGTAGATGTCTTTAAATATAAAATTATTAAAAGTTGAGTAAAAYGAAYAAWMAYAGMGTTTTTMGTTGAAATAATYGGGTGTATTGAAATATAAAATTAATAAAATTTGAGTAAAGATATGAGATAATGGGTATTATTGGAGAAAGGATGTCTCGGAGAAAACAAAGTTGGAGAGAGAATGGATGAAAGTTGGAGTGTGTTTAAATATAAAATTAATAAAAGTTGAGTAAAAGAATGAAAGAAAAGGTATAAAGTTGAGTAAAAGGAAAAGAGAATATGTTTTTAATATTTTTTTTATTTAAAGACATCACGATACTCCAAAAACGTTGACGTATCGTGAAAGCCTATAAATACAGCCGAATTAGCGCCCAAAAGGTTAAAGCAGAAAAAAGAAAAAAAACTTTAATTTACCTTTTTAACAGATCTTTCTCTCTTTCTCCGACCTGGTCACATCCTCGACGGCTCCAC